ATAATTTAATAAAAAAAGAAAAAAATTACAACCGTAGTAGCAGTAATTTGTGAGCTGGGAATGTGGCTCAGCCATAAATGTGCTCGCCACACAAGCATGTGTATCTGGGTTCAGATCCCCAGCATCTGTGTAAAAGCCAGCCATGAGCATGCCCCTGGAATCCCATTACTGGGAAGGTGGATGTTCGAGGATCCTGGGACTACTGTCCAACCAATTTAGCCAAACTGGTGAGCTCCAGACCTATCTTAAAAAAAGAAAACCAAAAAACCAAAACAGTGGAGACCAATAGAAGAAGACACTAGGCATATACCCCTGCCCTCCATATGCACATACGTGTGCACACAACAAACATATAAGACATGCATGCAACACATAACACACACACACACACACACACACACACACACACACACACGATAATAATGATTTGAAATGACAAAAAATACTTAGTGGGAGAAAGAGTCAAATCAGTGGAAGGCGTTGTTCTTTACAGAAACATTTAGGAGGTAAAAACTAAGTGAAACTTTAATTCTGACAAGCACAAAAAAGGGGGACAGCATCATGAAAAGATGATGACAATCAAGAATGAGATTTAATCCATCTCAGATTCTTGAACTAATAACTTGACTTTCCTATAGTGTTAGCTCCCCAAAGATCCTCCTGTTTCCAAAGGATGATCTGTGCAGGGGAGCCGTACTGAGGGCTTTTACAATGTAGAGTGCTGGCATCATTTATGAGGTGGAGTATGATTTAGCTCTGACTCATCAAGGCTGTCTTCTATAAAGCTCCCACAAGTAGACCTCAAGGAAGTGGCAGAGTGGTGTGTTCTTGTCCACTCTGTCAGTTACTTTCAAAGTCACATGTGGTGTGTACAGAGCTTCACCTGGCCCCACATCAGAAGGGCAGGTGTCATGGCACAAGGTTTAACCATCCTCTGTAGACTTGTGCTGGGGATGATCTCCCCAGTACTTAGAAGCAGGGAAGGCTCAAGACTCATCTAACTGAGCTGAGGCCACACCAAGGTTTTCTCAGGAATGGAGGAACTTCTGTTACTCCCAGCCAAGCACCTATAAATGCCATGGCTCCAGGAACAACTTTACATGGGTAAACTCAAAACCCAAAGACTAACCATTGGAAAGAAGCAGGACCTCTTCCAAGAGCATCAAGAAAGAAGTCCTCGTGGAAGACGGAAAGTTGCAGAGGATCACAGATGTCATTACATTTCTCAATTGTCGTGAGGAGAAGGGATAGAGAAATTTACTATCACCTTACAAAAGGAAGTATATACTCTGGCGACCACTGATTGGCTCAAGCCTGGGGAATAGGGTTACAGAAAACACCTCTTTAAACACTCCTTCCTCGAGTCTGAGAGGGAAACACTTAAAACAGAGCCACAATAAAAGCAATGTATTAGTGAGCTTTCTGAGATGATTAACTTACAAAGAAAAACAACTTCTTTTGGCTTGTGGTACCAGAAGTCTCCATCCATGGTCCATTGGCTGTGTTTGTTGGTTTGGGCTGTAATTCTCTACATACGTTTTTAAAGGGGCATCTGTCCAATATGCAACCACAGGTCCAGTTCTGGATAGAACAAACCCTTCACTAGCACAACACAGAGGTCATCAGGATCCCAGTGCAACAGAACATCTAATCCTGCCTCGAAAAATTAAATGGCTCTCAGAAAAGTGGAGGATAAAGTAACAAGCCCCAACAGTTTCTGAACCCAAGTGGTGGGTAGAGAATTCACTGTACGTCTTGAAAATGTTCCTGTGAAGTTAATTTTGCTAGATAATGACACAATCTATAGCCTCCAGCATGCATAAGGCAGAGGGAGGCTTTAAGTTCGAGGCCAGCCTAGGTAAAAGTGAAAATTTTTCTTAAAAATCAAGGGGCTAAACGGGCGTTGGTGGCACATGCTTTTAATCCCAGCACTCAGGAGGCAGAGGCAGGTTGATCTCTGTGAGTTCGAGGCCAGCCTGGTCTCCAGAGCAAGTGCACGATAGACCCCAAAGCTACACAGAGAAACCCTGTCTCAAAAAAAAAAAAAAAATCAAGAGGCTGGAGAGCTGGCTCAGCACTTACAAGCACATACTGCTCTTACAGGGGGGTTGTGGTTTTGTTTCCAGCACCCACTCTGATGACTGCTCACAACCATTTGTAACTCCAGTTCCAGGACATCTGATTCCATCTTCTGGCCCCTGCAGCCAACTACACTCATGACCACCACCACCCCCAACACACACACACACACACACACACACACACACACACACACACACTTAAAAATAAGAACAATTAAGATGCTCTTTTTTAAAAAAAAAAAAAAAAAGTTAAACAACAACAACAAAAAAAGGCTAGGATGCCATTCAGTGGCACAGCATTTGCCTAGCATTCAAGGAGCCCTAGATTGGATGCCCAGCACAGAAAAACAACAACAATAACACTAACAATAATTTTTAACCAGTTTGGAGCTGCAGTTCCTGCTTTTAAAACCTCTGAGGTTTAGATGATCATGAACTAAACAATGGTGGATTTGGAGCTCTTTGGTGTACATGCAAAATGAAGGTTCATGTGTATTGAGAAGGCAGCGGGTTAAAAGGAGGAAGGGAGGGTGAAGCAGAGCAGGCCCAGCAAGAAGAGTGTGAGCCTGAATGGGAGCTGGGCCAGCTGTGGGTGCAAGAGATGTGTGCCACTCTCCAGGCATCTATTTCTCCTTCTGAAATTCAAAGGTCACTTCATAGGCTTGCTGTGGGCTATCGTTAAATAATGAATGCGTACTTAGCACATAGTAGGTACTCAAGAAATTTGGTGTACTTTATAAATATCTGTACTTTTCAAAATAGATAGGCCCAGGAAATTCCTTTCTTTACAAAAGAATTCACCATGGGGTCCCTTTAAGCCCTCAGCCTTGTGAGTGCATTTTAAATGGAATTGTTTGCAGAAATCCATTTACACATGACTTTTCAAAAACACAGCCAAGGCTATAATGAAGGCAGGCGGATGGAGCTCCCGGGGCACACTCTCTCAACCTCAGATCCTGTCCAGCAGGATTCTCTGAAAGACTGGAGACTAAAAACATCTCCTCTGAAAAAAACCACAAAGACCCAACTGGCTGCCCTCTGGGAAGTCTTTTTTCCATGCATATTTGGAAGGCTTGTGGTGTTTCCAGCTATGGGTTCAAGCTTATAAGGACAATAGCAATAGCAATAGGCTAAAGACATTAGCTAACATTTATGGAGGCTTTCCTATGAGAGAGGCACCGTGCTAATTCCCATGCATTATCCCACACAAGGTGAGAGAGGCTAATATCTGTAGAATTGCAACATGTGCTCGTAGATGAAAAAAGTTCCCATAATTCCTCACAAAGAAAAATCTCACAGGCTATTTATTTTTGCTGTTGTTTTCTAGATAGGGGAAACAGAGGCAGACAGTAGGGAAGTCATTTGCCCCAAATTGCCCATCTTTAATTAATGAGTTATTTTTGAACAAGTGTAGCTCTGAAGCTCGCCCTATTACAGACCACTGCTCTCCAGCCATGTTCTCTCCCCACCAGCAGTGCATCCAGCAGGGCCAGGACTGCTGGATAGGGTCCCTATGGGAGGCACTGCCCCCCTCTGTCCCCTCCCCATCTCACTTAGCCCTCCACAAGCTGTTGTCAATTGCACTGAAGTATTTACAGCAACCAGCGACCGCTGACACCTCTGTCCACGTGGGCTATAATTTGATGCTCAAGTTGTTAAGCAGCCGCTTTCCAGCAGCAGCTCTTCATACATGAGTGTCTCCCCCAAGAGCCATGCTGCCTGTCTCTCCACTGCTCCCCATGCCTGCACACCTCTCCTGCTGGCCCCGGGTGTGTACACATATGTACACTTGCCAGATGCATCATCATTCACGGAAGCACACACACACACACACACACACACACACACACACACACACACATCACCTGCACACACACAAGCACAGACTCCATCACAAAACCCTCACAGTCCTTTCAAGGACATACCTGACAATACATGCCATGTGCACTACAAATTATTGGCCTTACCCTATTCCCACAGTTTGTGACAGCCACACATAACCCACAGAGAGAATGACTGGGGATATTCTGTGAAACAGCATTCAAAAGTGATGATGGCTAGTTATATCCACCCCAGATATGGTCATAGGAAATATAATCTCCATATAATAATTCATCAGAAAATTATTTGTTTGTTCAACTCTTTATTAGGGAAAGCATGTAATATTCAACATGCTTTTTATGGACTTGTGTTAAATGCAGCTGCCACTCTCATGTGTTTGCATCTGTTTGCTTCCAAGTTGGTGTGTCCTACCTAAACTCCTGGATGGCAAAGACCATGGGTACGTATCTACCTTTATGTGGCTGAACACAGCAACAGCAGATCCAGCACTTTAGCTCTGCTGTGGGCCATCTCCTAGGAAGTCTGCAGAATAAAGCCTCCTTCCACATAACAACCTCAGAGCAAACACATCCCAGAAACCCTATCCCCATGCCATCTTCACTAGTGGAGCAATGGAAAGATGAGAGGGGACAGAGGATAAGTGAAGGGAGTGAAATGGGTGAGGGTCATGGAATAAAGAAGAATCTGCAGCCCCTGCACTCAGAAAACAATGGATTCAGGGATGCTTCCACTGTGAAGTATCCCAGAATACTGGAGGCTAATCCATTGAGAGTCAGAGGATAATCAGCTTCTCTGGCCCATGAAGGCCGGGACCAGCCTTAGACCCCATTCAGGGGGCTAGAGCCGCACTCAGCAGGATCTGTGGGGTTAGATAGAAGAGTGATCCAGCGCTGAGACAGAACCCCAATCCATATAGCTACCTTCCTTTGGAAGCTCGTGGATGGTCTATCACGAACACAAGGAGTTTACCGCTATGCCTAGAGCTAGACTGAGAAACTCATAACAAAGGAGGGATGGCTCTCGCATGCCGAGCTCCAGCCGAAAGAGAAGGGGGGTAAGTAAGCAGGTGCCCATACTATGACTCCTGCAAGGCAGACTGCCCACAAACCCACTGGTGGTAAAGAACCCAGGAAACAACTGACTACAAAAGCCTCTCGCAAGGGTGCGCCATCTACTGGAGGGGTGAAGAAACCTCATCATTACAGGCCTGGTACTGTGGCACTCCATGAAATCAGACACTATCAGAAATCCACTGAACTTCTGATTCGCAAGCACTCCACCCCACCCAGCTTCCTCCAGCATCTGGTGCAAGAAATTGCTTGGGACTTCAAAACAGACCTGCGCTTCCAGAGTGCAGCTATTGGAGCTTTGCAGGAGGCAAGTGGGGCTATCTGGTTGGCCTTTTTGAAGATTCCAACCTGTGTGCTACCCATGCCAAACGTGTAACAATTATGCCAAAAGATATCCACCTAGCATACATGTAGAGAACGTGCCTAAGAGTTCACTATGAGGGGAAGCATTTCATTCTCAAAATAATTTTTTCCTCTTCTTCCTGTTACCAGAGTTCTGAACGTAGATATTTTTTCCCATGTACCTAAGAATATGATTGCGAGTGGAAAAATAGGGGACAGAAATCAGGTATTGGCAGATTTTCCATTTTCATTTGTGTGTGAATTTTTAATATAAATGCAAGATGCAAGAAAAATGTTTCATTAATGCAAGAAAAATGTTTCAGTGAACACATTTCAACAGTTCAACTTTATAACAATTATAAATAAATCTCTTAAAATTTTCTGGACAATGCCAGCATTTGGATTTTTTAAAAATAACTAAATTTCTTATTGACAGCAACTAAATGATTTTTGTAGCATTTTTTGTGTTTTTTTTTGTTTTTGTTTTTTGTTTTTGTTTTTGTTTTGGTTTTGGTTTTGGTTTTTCGAGACAGGGTTTCCCTGTGGCTTTGGAGGCTGTCCTGGAACTAGCTCTTGTAGACCACAAGATCTCGAACTCACAGAGATCCGCCTGCCTCTGCCTCCCGAGTGCTGGGATTAAAGGCATGCTCCACCAACGCCCAGCGTTAGTAGCATTTTTATGATACAGTAGATTCCATCCATTCACTATACTTTTCTGAGTTGTCCTACACACAAGTACATGTTTTTAATGACTGTCTTTTGTGCTGTTCCTGCAAGTTTACTAGTAAAATAACAGAAATGAAGAAAGGAAACTAGCTGGGAGGATTGTGAGGCCAACCTGAGCTACATAGTGAGATTCTTCCTAAAAAGGAAAAACTGGAAACACAACAGTCTTGAGCTGCTGAAAAAAGGACTCTGCACCAGGCTCTGTTGTTTGTCTGAGCTCAGCTTTCTAATGATGGCCAGCCCTCTAGAAAACTCTCCTAGAGCAAGGACAGGCAGAGCAGGGAAGGTGTGGGTACCCCAAGCCACCAGATCTTGCCAAAGGAGCCAGATGGTGGCCTTGGGACAGCAGGAAGCTGTTGGGAGAAAACATGCAGATGACCTGGGGGGGGGGGCACCACTTAAACCTTAGTTTTAAGTCCTTCTTTAAACACAACATTGCTTCAGTTGAAGGTGCAATCCTGCAACAGCCCTGGGGCTTTCACCAAGTCTCATCAGGGAAATCGTGGCTCAAACCCATCTCACAGCATGGACCTTTAACAAATACTCCTTCTAGAAGTCCTCTGTTCCCTCTGGCTCTCTCCTTAGTGAGGTTAGAAGAAGCAATAGACAATGATAGGAACCTGGAGCTGAGGTCCACAAGCCCCAAGGGGCCCATGGATAAAAAATCTGTTGGATCACAGCTCTGTAAATTTGTCAGGAAAAACAAATTTAAGTTTATTTCCAGAAACTCCTGAACTGAAATACAGCACTTTATTCAATAATGGCTGTTAGTATTTCTTGTACCTACAGTTGTGCTACCCAGAGAAAATTTAAACAGGTTCTTGCAGAAATGTCAAATTCTTCTGATGAACACTTTAAAAATCATACTATCATATCACTACTATGCTATATTTAATGAGCTAAATTTATTTCTTGTTTTTCTCTTTTAAGACAGAGTCTTGCTGTGCTGTAAAAGCTTGTCTAAAACCAGAGGATTTAGGCCTTCAATCTTCTCAGAACTGTGGGCATAGAACATGGCATTCAGCTTTATGATTTCACATCACAAACTATCTTACCATATATCCTACTATATAACATTTTTAGCATGTTGATATTTGAATCTCAATAGAACTCATTATTTTTGTAATTTTGATTTCTTGTTTAAAAACATGTATTATTAGGGGGTCCATGGACTTCACTAGTCTGCCCAAGGAGGCTCCATCATATTTTTTAAAATAACCCTCTAGAAGAGGCTAGTGCCTTGATTGAGGGCCTCTGGATCCCTGAATGGCTGTGTAGCCCTTACCTCCATCATGAGTGATTCAGTATTTGACTATGGACCGATGAGACAGGGAACTGAGAACCTCTTACAATGCAGAGAGAACCCCAGTGACCACAGAGAATGGGCAGGATGGGTCTCTCAGTTTTGCCCTGGGCTCACTCTCATCTCTCCTGAAGACCCTCACTCATCAGGATAGAATGCCTTAAGTGCTTTTGTCTCAAACCCAGCTTTCTACTGTCCAAACTCTTTCCAGAGTCCAAGGCCTAATTCAAATGTTGCTTCCTCTGAGGAGTCTCCTGGGCCTCCTTTCATAGAAATTATTGTCCCAGACATGGACCACAAAGCTACTAACATCAGATTATGAGTTTGTTGGGAAAAGTTAGATAAATTTCCTCCCGCTGACCTAGCCCATATCTTTACTAAAAACCTGTATCTGGGATGCCTAGTTATAGCAAGGTCAACAAGCTGTTGCTGCATGGCAGGTAGTGGGTAGTCAAGGAGCTGTATGACTAAGCTCCATTCCCCAACAACCTATCCCAAGTCCACAGAGTAAATGTATGGTCCACGTGGAAAACGTTTATTAGTGATTTTCCACAGGGGGATCTTGATTTCCTTTCTCTGAAGTTATTCCTGCCCTGTTAGGATTTCCATCCAATGCACACTGACCTCTGGGTCTCTGCATGGGAGTCTCTCCTTATCCTCACTTTTCCTTTCCACAGATCATTACCTATGCTCAACCACAGTCTAAAAACATTAGATGGGAAATTCCAGAAATAAACAATCCATATGTTTTAAATAACTCCTTTATAATATACTATTATAAGTGTTTTATTGTTAGCTATTGTTAGACACCTATTATGCTTAATGTATATTAAACTGCAACACAGATGCATATGTATATGTATATGTATATGTATATGTATATGTGTATGTATATGTATATAAGCTAAAAGACTACATAGACCCTGATACTATCTAAGGTTCAGGCATCCACATTTCTGGACAACACAAATTCATAAGACTTTGGGCAATGCAACACTCTTTGGGGAACAGAGGAATGCAACAGGTCTTGGAAAGTATCTCCTGCCATGGGTAAAGGGAAACTTCTATTGTTTTGGCAGCCATACTAGTACTCAGGTAGGGATGGATCTTCTCCAACACCTGTGAGTGTTCTTTCATCTCTTAGGACCAGAATCTGAGGCAGCCTCTTTCTCCCACATTCCACCTTTGAAAGCCACACTTTCAACCAATTTGATCCTTCTTTTCCCACCCTACCCCATCCACACCCAGCCCTTGGAGCCCCAGCCCTTGAACTGGAACACTCATCCCTATGTGCACACAACTCTGGAGAGCATCCCAGACAGCTGTGTAAGAAAGTGTCAGGGAGGCAGCTCCCTGTCCCTCCTGTAGAATGTAATGGGCCAGCCCAAGCTTTTTTTGTCCAGAAGATAGAAAGGCACCAACTAAGCTTAAACAAAAGTTATATTGCAACTCTGGCTGCATAATGCTATAACCACTTCCTCTCTCCACCAGGCCAAGGACCAAAGGTCATTATTTCTCACTAATGGTCACATTTCTGAATAAAACAAACTCACATTGCAGCCCACTTTTGTAAGCCTTGCACCATGTGCTAGGAAGAGAGATGCAATAGACTTAGCTACTACTCTCAGGTACTCCCAACATGGTAACAGCAGTAAGCAAAAGATAATAAACCAAAGCTATGTCATTAAAGCACTAAAAGGGCTGAGGATGTAGCTCAATGGTAAAGGACCAGCCCAGCATGTGCAAGGCCCTGGGTGATAGCCCCAGTCAAAATAACACATTAGAATCATAGCAGCCCCAGGGACAGAATCTAACCACAGAGGATGGGGAAGAAAGCTGGGTGGGGGAAGTCTTGCACCCAAGGGCGGGCACAGCTCAGAGGATGAAAGCAGTCTTGCCATGAACTTCTTTCATCTTACAAAGAGAGGACTCAAGAAACAACAGAACATGAACTGTGGTTACACTTCATTGGTAGGGCACTTGTTTATGCATGAGGCCCCTGGATGTAAAGGAGGTGGGGAGTTGGGAGGAAGGAAAGGTAAAGGAAAAAAGAAAAACTAAGTGTTTTGTGTCTGTGGAGAAGGTGAGAGTGTGATAGGAGGGGCAAGGACCAGCATCACAGACAGAGAAAGGGACTTATAGTTCTAGTCTCTGAGGTCTTCTTCTTAGAAAGATTGGTCCCCTTGAGGATCCTCTTCTCCCCCAACCCCACCAGCCACCTTCTTGAGAGTGTAAACTGCCCCAGAACTGTAGGAAGCACCTAGACATGCCACTATTCTCAACTAAGTATCCCTGGAACTGCTGAGAGGGCAGAAGAGGAGAGGAGTGGAGTAGCTACCAGTTAGAAGAGAAGCCCTGCTAAGAAACAAAAGCCCCCTAGGATAGCCTTAGCCTCTAATCTGAGCAGGACACACTTTGAGAAGCAGAGTACAGAGACATCCGGACAGCCCAAGTACATCCTTGTTAGCAAGGATCTGCTTGGGGTCATTTGGGGGTCATCTCTGTGAGGAGAGGGTCAGACCCATTTGCAGCAGGGTCACCTTTGTTGGCTTAGAGTCATCCCTTTTTAGCACTAGTTCACTCACTTTAGAGGAAGGTCCCCCTGGCTTACAGAATCAGCCTCCAAGGAGGGTCACTCTGATGTGAAGCAGGGTCACCTTTGTTAGGCCATCTCTGTTAGCTCAGGGTAAGTCCTAGGCTGCACAGGGTATGCTCCTGAACTTTGGGGCCAGTGGCGCCCCCAGGTGGCTGGGCTTGGCTTCCACTCTCTCTCAGTGTTTCTCACAATTGGGGGAAGGAGAGAGTTTACTCAGACCCTGGACACTTGAGGAATTACACTGCTACCAAATATGCTTGCATTAATCTTTGGGACCCCCTGCTCACAGAGCACAATTTAGACTCTAGAGTACATCCAAGACCCAGGATCTGCCATAGTCTGTGATGTAGATGAAGAGGAAACAAGCCACAGGTGAAGTCACACGGTCAGGCCACACACACACACACAC